TTGATTTCAACATAAGCAGATGGATGTCATATGCCTGTTATTCCTGTGCAAAATAAAATTGGATATTTCTTTCTTTATGAGGAGGCTCAGATGGACACATCTGAGGACACTCACATCATTCTTAACCTGTGGGACCCAGAACTGCACACAGTACTCAAGATGAGGCTGCACTAATACTAAATACAGCAGGACAATCATCTGTTTTGACTGGCTGGTGACGCTGTGTTTGATGCACCCCAGGATGTGGTTTGCCCTCTTGGCTGCCAGGGCACACAGCTGGCCCCTACAGAACCTGCTGTCAACCAGCACCTCCGGATTCCTTTCTGTAGGGTTGCCCTCCATCTACTCCTCTCCCAACTTAGACTTGTGCCCAGTACTCTGTCCCAGATGCAGAATCCAGTATATGGTCTTACTAAATTTCATCCCATTAATGGTTGCTCAAGACTCCCATCTATCCATTTTTAAGATCCTTCAAGAGAGGCAACAGGACCTCCCAGTCTGGTATCTTCAGCAAACTTGTTAATCATGCATTCAACTTCTGCATCAGATCATTGATAAAAATATTGAACGAAATTGGCCCTAGAAATGAACATTGATGTACACTGTTGGTGACTGTTCACTGGCAAGATGTAGCCCCATTCGCTACAATATTTTGAGCCCTGCAGTTCAGACAGTTCTTCTCCCAGCACACTGTGAACACTCTCATCCCACAGTTGGAAGACTTGTCCAGAAGGATGCTGTGAGGGACATGGTGACTGTGCCTTATGATTGCATAATTCTTCAAATGCCTTTCAGTAGTACCCGGTATGATCTTCCCACAATTTTTCCGGGAACTGAGGTTAGACTAATGGGTCTGTAGTTCCCTGGGTCTTCCCTTGTACTGTAAAGTGGAATAAAATTGGCTAGCTTCCAGTCAGCAGGGAACTCTCTAGACTCCCAAGACCTTTGGTAGGTGATTGAGTAGTATAATTAATAAATATTAATCATTAATTAATAATTAATTAATAATTGTGTTTCTGTGTTCAAACCATCTTGTACTTGTTTCTCCACAGAAAGCATGTAATGTGAATGGGAAGTGCAGTTGGATAAAATTCTATCAGTTCAGGATGGCTTTCTTTCCTGTTTGTTCCCAGACATAGAAAAGGGAATTCAGAATGGCTAAGCTGTCAGATCAAAATTCAATGTTAAACATTACTTAAAACCCCTCATATGTATAAACATTATTTACCATGCATAGAAATATAACAGATTTCTTACAGAATATCTCAAACTGTAGCTTCTTTGTTAGCCTTAGTGCTCATCACCCAAAGTCCATTCCAGAGGCCCAGCTATGGGATCAAACACATAATACTCTGTTTATATTTGTTGTTTTGTAATAATTACCTTTTTGAGTTTCCACAAACACATCTAAAATCACTAAGCTTAAAGAAGAAAATAGAAAGTACATTAATCTGGATTTACTTTGGTTTGATTTGAGGCTACCTGAGAGTAAGAAATGCATATTTGCTAACAAATCTTAACTTTGACTAGTGGCTGGAAAAAATTAGTTGTAGGCAGCTGCATATTTCTGCATATTTCTACCTTGGCACTTTCACTTCCTTAGACTGTAAACAATAGAAAAGAGGTCTTTTTATTCTTATGTAAAACTCACTTTGCAAAAGAAGTTATACATTGTCAGAAGATTTCCAGTCCGTATTCCTTTACAGTGTTCCAGTACTCGTAAATTCGCAACATGTAGAATTTCTGTATAATCTCATTTTCTTTCTGTTTTGTAGTAAATCTAAGTGAGATTTACCACTGAAAAATAAAGATTTAATATGATCAAAATACCTCACAATTTATTTTATTTTTGGGAAAGTAGAGAAATAAGATTTAAAATTCCTGAAATTTGCAAAAATAATTTTTATTTCATTAGGTTGTGATTATCTTATATGCAATTAGAGTTCTCAGTCTGTAGTGATATTGTGGGTCTTCATTCATGTACTTCATCAAATTGTTAGTCTGGAAGGCCAGGCCAAAGCATAATCAGATCATTGGCAGTTTCCGGTTGATTTCAGCGAGGTTTGGATCAAGGCTATATTGTACCTTCCATGAATATTCAGGAATCTTTTTATGTCTTTACATGCTTGGATATTGGGAGGTCATAAATGCCTAAGTCCATGATCATGCTTAAATTTAAATCCATAAGAAAAAGACCATTTCAAAGCCATGCCATTTACACTTCATTGTCATTTTCTTGATCTATTTCCTATTTCAGGAAAGGAAATAGTTTTTTTTCTTTTTTTTTTTTAGTATCTCCTAACTGTGTTTTCCCTCATAAAAAAAGAATCTGAGGAATCAATAAACTTTACCATTTATAGCATGGTTGAGCTGGATCATGAGCTCTACAGCACTAATAATTGTCAAAAGAAACCAGCCCCAAACCCACAAAGAAAGAAAGAAAGAAAAAGAAAAAAAAGATTCATAGAATCTTAAAATAATTTGGATTCGAAGGGACATTTAAAAGTCAACCCACCTCCAGTAAGTAAGGACACCTTCAATTAGATAAGGTTGCTCAGAGCCCCTTCCAACCCCACCTTGAATATTTCCAGGGATGGAGCATCTACCACTGCTCAGGAAAACCTGTTCCAATGTTTCACCACCATCATTGTAAAAAATGTTTTCCTTGTATCTAGTCTAAATCTACCCTGTTTCATTTTAAAACCATTACCCCTTGTACTATTGCTGCAGGCCCTACCGAAAAGTTTGTCCCCATCTTAGAGACCACTTGGCCAAACTAGACATCCACAAGTCCATGGGCCCTGATGGGATGCACCCACAAGTGCTGAGAGAACTGGCGGATGTTATTGCTAAGCCACTCTCTATCATTTTTGAGACATCTTGGAGAACAAGAGAAGTGCCTGAGGACTGGAGGAAGGAAATATCACTCCAGTCCACAAAAAGGGCAAGAAGGAGGACCCCGGGAACTACAGGCCAATTAGTCTCACCTCTGTCCCGGGGCAAATAATGTAGCGGTTTGTGCTGGACGTCATCTCCAAACATATTGAAGATCAAGAAGTTGTCGGTATTAGTCAACATGGATTTACCAAGGGTAAATCATGCTTGACCAATCTGATAGACTTCTATGATGTTGTAACTGGTTGGCTAGATGAAGGGAGAGCAGCAGATGTCATCTGCCTTGACTTCAGCAAGGCTTTTGACACTGTCTCCCATAACATCCTCATTAGAAAATTAAGGAAGTGTGGGATAGATGAGGGGGCAGTGAGGTGGATTGAGTCCTGGTTGTGTGACAGGACTCAGAGGGTTCTAATTAATGGAGCGGGGTCAAGTTGGAGGCCTGTGAACAGTGGTGTCCCTCAGGGGTCAATACTGGGCCTAGTCCTTTTCAACATATTCATAAATGACCTGGACGAGGGGACAGAGTGTATTCTCTCAGCAAGTTTGCTGATGATACCAAGTTAGGAGGGGTGGCTGACACCCCAGAGGGCTGTGCTGCCATCCAGCGCGACCTGAACAGGCTGGAGAGCTGGGCAGAGAAGAACCTAGTGAGGTTCAACAAGGACAAATGTAGGGTCCTGCACCTGGGGAGGAAGAACCCCAGGCACCAATACAGGTTAGGGATGGATCTTCTGGGAAGCACTACTGAGGAAAAGGATCTGGGAGTCCTAGTAGATAGCACACTTTTCGTGGGCCAGCAATGTGCCCTTGTTGCCAAGACGGTCAATGGAATCCTGGGCTGCATAGGCAAGAGTGTGGCCAGCAGGTCGAGGGAGGTCATTCTCCCTCTCTAATCTGCCCAACTGAGGCCACAACTGGAATTGTGCATCCAAGTCTGTGCTCCCCAGTTCAAGAGAGACAGGGAACTACTGGAGAGAGTCCAGCATAGGGCAACAAAGATGACTGAAGGAATGGAGCACCTCACTTATGAGGAAAGGCTCAAGGAGCTGGGACCCTTTAGCCTGGAGAAGAGAAAGCTGAGGGGAGACTTTATTAATGCTTACAATTATCTAAAAGATGGGTTGAAGGAGGATGGAGCCGGACCCTTTTCAGTTGTTCCCAGTGGCAGGACAAGGGGCAATGGACACAAGCTGGGACACAGGAAGTTCATTCAAATATGAGGAAGAACTTCTTTATGGTGAGTGTGACAGAGCACTGGAATAGGCTGCCCAGGGAGGTTATGGAGTCCCCTTCTGTGAAGATCTTCAATGCCCGCCTGGATGCAGTCCTGAGTAACATGCTTTAGGTGATTTTAGGCGACTAACTAGGTTTTAGTCCAGGGTACTAGGACTAGATGATCTCTAGAGGTCCCTTCCAAAATACGTGGCAGTGGCAGTTGCATTTACCATTTTTTGGGTAACAGAAAATGTTTCTTTTGTTATTACTGCTTGTCTTAGTTTAAAGTTAACTTTTCAATAGTAATTAATTTCTTTGCGGACACCACGCACATTTATAAAGTGTCCACTGTATGTAAGAGGGGACCAAAAGACTAAACAGCTGACAGTCTTTGTGCATGTGCATTATTACCTCATTCTTACTGTTACAATATATGTTTCAGTACTGCAGGTTTTGGTAATACCTCTGAGGTACTTAATGAGCTAATAGCATAAGTTCCGATATGAAACTACATTTTTGCGTTAAAAATGCTACATTGAAAAAGAGTTGATCTAGCACAGTAACAACAAGAAAGTGCTTGTAGTTAAGACAATGTAAATAAACACACAATCGTTTCTTCAGGAACACTTTAATCAGAAGACACCTGATTCACTTTAAGTAGAAGACACCTGGTTCAAATGATTTAATATAAGACATTTTATGGTAGGGACTATTTTACATCAGAGTTACTATAGTGATTCTACTTTGTTTTGATGTCTTTCATTGATATCAGTTTGCAGAAGTTATTTATCATCAGTGTACTAACTTTTTCTGTTTCTTGAACCCTTCAGAATTTATTGGTGTTGCTATAGAAATACAAATAAAACATGTTTTATTTTCTCTTTCAGGGAAATCTTGAAGAGTCTTACACTTTTAACCCTCCAGTCATTGATTGCGCTCTGAGGATATTGTGATGATGTGGTAAGTTGGTGTAGATCTGTTGCTTTGATCAGCTAAATTTTCATTCAGATTTAACTGCTAAAACAATATCCTTCAGTGTTGCATCTGTGTGACAAAACTTGAGCAATGTCTTTCTGGCTCTCTTGGCAAATTCCCCAAATTATAAGTCTGCGATTGATTTTGTATGTAGGAAGTCTGAATCACAGAGACATCAGATTTATTCTGTATTTACAGATCAACCTTATATTATGTGAACTGAGCAGTTGATTCATACACACTCAGTGCCTATTTTACAGAAATTCTAGGTTCCTGTACATCTGGAAATCTGGGTGATTATTGTAGCTAGTTTGGTAAGGCATGAGTCACTCAGCAATGTTTGATATTGTCAGCAATTCAAATTTCAGTGATCTAGATGTCAACTATTTGTCAGTCTTTTTCCAGAATTTTCCCTTCTCCCTCCCACCCCAGTATGACAAAACTGTAAAGGCTTTTCTTTTTGTGGCTACAGGGAGAGATGAAAGATTTAAGAGGTCTCTTTGTCCTGTTCTCTGGATAAGTAACTTTTATGAAGTTCAAATAATCTATATCATGACTTCTGTTGATCTTAGGAACGCTCTGATAACTCTTATATAGCAGTTCCTGGCTAGGAATTTGTAGCTGAAATAGGTTTATTTTTAATTTTTATTTTTTGACCCTCAGTGGACAACAGGAGTGACGGCCACATATTTCTAGGTGTTAGAATAGTTCTAAACAATGAAAGGTTCATGACTGTAAGTCACAGTTCAGAGAACCATGACTGGTGGCCCTTAGTTTTCTGACCTCCAACTGTTTGGCTAGTCTGCCTTAATAAACCATGCTCATCTTTTTTTCCTTTCTGTTTTTAATTTTATTTTTTTATTATTATAAAATGAAAGTTTATGTTGCTGCTGGAGTTTGAGTACTAAGAAATACCAGTCTTTACCTTTCAATGAGAAATCACATGGCTTTTGTTCAGCTAGTTACCATTTTGTAGTATTTTTCCGTATTTCTATCCATCCATTAATAAAACTGGAATAGTTTTACAACTCCAATTATACATACTTGTTATATGAAAAAGATTAACGTTCCAAAATGTGATGAGTACAAGAAAACCTTTCAAGGTACTAGATATTGAAAAGAATAAAGTTGTATGCTATTTCATTTTCTATGGACATAGAAGTGGTCATTACATGATGTAAATCAATTGCAGAGTTAGGATCACTGACCTAGCATAGACTCTTTATTTGCTTTGTTCTATTCTTGTTGATAAATTGAGAATTCACAAAGTAACCAGACTAAATTATTTCTGACTTCATCCAGTCCAGAATCTGTTACTTTTTAAATCAAGTAGCTACTAGTTACGATCGGTCTTCTGAGTGACTTTTTTGTGTGTGGTATCATCGAAGTACAATGTGATATCACTTGAAGTATGTCACCTACTATATCTTGATCTAAAACCAGAAGTGATTTAACACAAGCACTGCCTATTTATTTGAGTGAATACTAAAAACAAAATTCCATTTTGATACAAATTGTCCTTTGAAAGCATTATTTCTTGCCTTTGCAAATGAATAACAGATTAAAGTGTGATCTAAATCATGTCGTTTGTTCATTTAGTTAGATAAAATATGTTACTTTTATTGGAAGTAATAAAATTATCCTCTTGACTAGATTATTCTTACTGCAAAAGTAAAAGTAGTTTCCATGTAGTAATGTATCATACCCAAATTAATAAACATGTTCTCAGAACAAATTCACATTCTTAAAGTAAAATCTAATAAATATAAATCTAATTTTTTCCTCCCTTCTCTTGCAGTAGTGTCATTTTTTAATTAAATATGAAGTTAGTATTAATATTTATGTCACAGTTAAAGAAGCCTTGAATCACTGCTGTTATACTGCTGCCAACTTTTTAAGATTGCAAATCTTGAATAAAGATACTTTTTTTTATAATTTCCTAGGCTGAAACCTTGTCAAATGTGTGAAATATCCTTGAAAGAATCAATAGCAATGAAAAGCCAGTGAAACAAAAAATGAAAAAAAAAGACAAACATATTTTGAGTTGTTCAAAATTTGTACCAGTTTTATAATTCTTCATCTTTGTCAGATATACAATAATATACATTTTTCTACTTTGGTACATCTTCTACTTCAGATATTATGGGAAAAATAAATCCAAATTGTGCAAACTTTATCTCCTAATAAAATTAATTTAACAAAATTCATAATAATAAAAACAAGCTGATTCAAAGTTGAATAGAGGGTGCTTCTTTTATTTGTCAATTTTTATATTTTTTTTCCTCACCTTGGTGAGCAGTTTCAGCCCTGAAAATGTCAACATGCAGTTTTTCTTATGAGTGAGGTTTTGATAGTGCAGAAATATAAGGCGTATGCCTCAGATTTCACTGTGTCTCTGATTCCATGTGTAAAGTTGGATGAACAGGGATATGTCTGTGGCATTTTCAATGATAATTAAGACACATCCAAGAGCAGATAATAGGTCGTCTTTATTCAGAATTAATTGTGGTTTATGAAAAAGATGGAAAATATAGATAAAGTCAAGTAAGATACAATATTTTACTTTTTGTGATCACAGAGATAAAGAAGGCAATTATTAAAGATTTTTAGATGAGCTTTAAATTACTAATGACAATACACGAGTATTAAATTAATGTATTAAAATTCTTAGCACTAACTGTCAGTTCAAGAGCTTGGCAAGCCAAAATTAGACTATTAAGCTTTAACCTATAGGCCATATTTTTTAAGCCAGTTTAGATTGGTTGAATTTGAAGATTCTTTTAGCTTGACAGTTATTTGGCTCCCTGAAATGTGATGGTGGAGTGAGTTCAAATGCTGAGGATAAAGAATCCCATTACAAAACAATTGCATGTTATGGCAGTATTTTACGTCTTGCAATCACAACAGAAGTGTCAAAGCCCAGATGTCTATGTAGAGGCAACTGCAACTCAAGTCAGAAAGCAGATCTTGTGGCTCAAAACTGAGGAGGTACCTGTGAAAAAGTGAACTTTTAAAAATTTTCTTTTATTTTTCTCCAGGCAATAATGCAGTTGTGGTTAAAAAATTCTGGTTCATTTAGCCACTTACCGTCAGCACAAAATTCATTTTACCACTTAATCAAGCTTAAAATTAGGGAGAAAAAAAATCTCCTCCTTTTGATAAAATCTATATTGTTCCAAAAAATACCATTACTGAAATTAAGAATAATATAAGTCAAGCAGTCACTTCTACTGAAGGAGTAGTGGTTAGGAAAACAGTCCTAATTAAAATGCAGAAAACCTTGATACAGCACAGAAACATTATTAATGAAAAGATTTTTGTCCCCCAAATTAGAGGTGCTTTAAGTAACTTAATTCTTCTTCAGTGCTGTCATTGTGTGGATAGAAACCTGAATCTGTCAAATCTTCATAGAATAGTTAGGCATTTTGAAAACACATCTCTTGAGAGTATCAGAGTTGTGCCTTCTTCATGATCTATTGCAAATGATTTTCAGTAAAATAAAATTGAAACCATTCTTAAGCTGTATTTTTTTCCAAATGAATATTGTCATTGCCCCCAGATATGCAACCCACAGCAAACAGAAGTGGAAGGAAATATGTAAAACAATTCAGTATTTCTCAGTAGCTGTGTGCTGACCTTAGTAGATGAGTCACAACAGCTAATCTGTGGAGTTACAAAACAGACATTTACAACGTAGTCTGAAAGAAAGAAAATGTTGCTTCTTTACAAGTATATCTTTGCCTTTCACAACCACATAATTCTAAACTCATGCAACACAGGTTCTATGAGTTAGTTGTGACATATTAATAACATTTTCTCTCTATTGAGAATCAGAACTTTTTAAAGAACATTTTTAGCATGATCTGTTGTTATACATATATGTCAATCTTCTCTTATAAATATCTATGTTCAAAAATTAGTGAATGTGTTCATCAGTTTTTCTAAATGTTAGGATCATTTAAAGAAAAACATTGATTATTTCACAAAGACCATTTAAAAACCTTGTAAAGTTTTGAGAGACCTTATTGTCTGGTGAGAGGTGTATACGCCTTAAAAGTAATTCATTATTCACAGAGAACACTTTTTTATCTGAGTGATTATGTGTTGCGTGGACCTGACCTAAACTTTGTAGCAAAACAGCTTATTCTCACTCAGTATATTCTTGATAGAATCAGTCATCATGCGATCAAAGAATACCAGGTTGGAAAGAACCTCAAGGATCATCTAGTGCAACCTATCTTGACAAAAGCACAGTTTAGACAAGATGGCCCAGTACCCTGTGCAGTTGAATGTTAAAAGTGTCCAGTGCTAAGGAATTCACCATTTCCCTTGAGGAGATTATTCCCATGGTTACTTTTTCTCATTGTGAAAAATTTTAGTCACGTGTTCAGTCAGAATCTCCCAGAAGTAACTTGTACCCATTATCACTCATCTTTTCAATGTGTCTCCTTGTAAAAAGAGAGTCTCTATCTTTTTTGTAGCCACCCTCTAAATACTAGAATATGGTCTCCCCTAAGCCTTCTTTTCTCAAGACTGAGTAAACTCAGTTCTCTCAGCCTTTTCTCATATGCCAGGCTTCCAAGTCCTGTGATCATCTTTGTAGCCCTTCTCTGGACCCTCTCCAGCCTCTCCGCACCTTTTTCAAATAATGGGGACCAAAGCTGAACACAGTATTCCAAGTGTGATCTGAAAAGCACTGAGTAGAGTGGGACAATGACTTCTTTATCTCCAGTGGAGATGTCCTTGTTGATGCAACCCAGCATCCTGTTGGCTTTCTTTGCCACACCAGGACACTATTAACTCCTATTGATCTTGATGTCCACCAGGACACCCGGGTCCCTTTTCAAAGAGCTACTTCCTAGCTGTGTAGATCTCAGCCTGTGCTGCAGTCCTAGTTTGTTTTTCTAGGTGCAAGACATTACACATGTCCTTTTTGAACTTTGTAGTGTTCTTGTTAGCCCACTCTTCCAACTTATCCAGGTCTT